TTTTTTTTTTAGCTTCTATGTTTGTTACAATGTTCAAACTGCAGGCTCAGAGGCCTGCAAGGCAGGCGGGGAACGTTGGTTTCCTCCGTCACTGAAGGAAGCAAGCCTCATGTTAGTTTCAAGCTGCCTGGCTGCCTGCCGCCATCTTGGCTGTCAGTTAATTTGCATATCTCCCTGATTAGCCAATGGGAAGGGTAGCGGTCGTACGCCAATTACCATGTTTCTCTTTTATTAGTGTAGATTATTATTTTAGAGTGACAGTTTATTTTACTTTTTTAATCCTCACCCAAGGATATTTTTCCATTGATTTTTTTTAGAGCGGGTGGAAGAGAGAGGAAAAGACAGAGAGAAACATCGATATGAGAGAAACACATGGATTGGTTGCCTCCTGCACGCGCCCCACCAGGCGCCCCACCCGGACCCGGGCCAGGGAGGAGCCTGCAACCTTGACTGGTATTGAACCCAGGACCCTTCGGTCCACAGGCTGATGCTCTATCCACTGAGCCAAACTGGCTAGGGCTTTAGGAAGATCATTTTAGTCACTGTGGTGGTGAGTGCATAGATTGGAGTAGGTTTGGAGACCAATTTGGAGGCATTAGCTTTAGGCAGAACCATGGAGTAAATAAGAACCGTGTAGTTTCCTAAGTTGTCTCAGGTGCTCTGCTGCCACTCAGGGAGGACACCTTGAGAGTAGTTGGGGAAGCAACTATATGACTTAGTTGGCATTTTTTTCCTTCTTGTCTTAATGGGCTCTCTGTAAATCAAGGGAATCTTAACCTCTCTGGAGTTCAAAGATGTATTCAGGGAGTCCAGGAAACTCCTGAAATTGTCTGAAAAGTTGTTGTACTTTTTTTTGGAAAAGCCACTGTAGCTTTTATCAGATTTTCAAAATTGTCTGTGAACTAAAAAGGTTAAGGAGTGATGCTTCTAAAGGAAGGAACTTGAGGAGAATGGGTTTTGTGGGCCAGTGCTGGTGTGTTAGCAATTCTATGCTTTTCTCAGATATTTCAATTTTCTTCTCATTCTCCTTTGTGAGGCATGAGGTACACAGTTTCACAGACAGTCCAAGCATGATTTGACTTAAAATATCCCATCATAGCCCTAGCCAGTTTGGCTCAGTGGATAGAGCGTCATCCTGTGGACTGAAGGATCCCAGGTCTGATGCTGGTCAAGGTCATATGCCTGGGTTGTGGCCTTGATCCCCAGTGGGGGGCATGCAGGAGGCAGCCAGTCAGTGATTCTCTCTCATCGATGTTTCTATCTCTCTCCCTCTGTCAATTGATTCCTCTCTGAATCACTAAAAATATTTTTTTAAAAATCCCATTCTGGCTTGAGCCTGAATGCGGGAGGTGTCACAATTTCACGACTGGGGATTTGTAGCTGTTGTAGCTTACTCTCAGTGGTGCTACCTATGTCTTATGTCTTGTCATATATTTCTCCCAGAGCCTTCCTGTTAGGGCACCAGGACCAGGTTTCTGTGTCCTTGAGTCTGTTTCCAGTGGCTGTCATGCTGAACTGTGTCTCAGGCAGGGGAATGGGGAATGGCTGTACCACCTTATGACAACTAGCGTGGGAGTGAGGAGTCCTTCTGTGACTGTTGGATTGTTGTCTTTTGTCCCTTTGTACCCACACCATTGCTGCCTCTCTTCATGCCTTGTCAGCTCTCACTTGGACTCTTGTAACAGCCTTTTCACTAATATTTCTAATTTGTTCTTTCTAGCCCACCTAGCTTTCTAAAACTCTATCTAGATGATCAGACACATACTTTTCCTTAAGCTTTTGGTATCTGCCTACAAGTTGTAGTCCAAACTCGTTAGCAAAGGGTTTAAGACCTTTTCCAACCTGGCTTCCATCTGCTTTCCAATCTCAGTGTCATGCACCTTGTATTTCTATTATACCAGATTATCAGATTATCACTGCTTCTGAAAAAGCTCTGAGTTTGCATGCTTCTGTTCCTTTGTGTCTTCATTTTTATTCAGCTTGGAATGCTTCTCTCCCTTTTTTTTTTGGTATTATGGTTACTTTTCTTTTTTTAATTAATTTATTGAGGTGACGTTGGTTAATAAAATTACATAGATTTCAGGTATACAATTTCTGTAATACATCATCTGTATATTGTGTTTGTCACCCCAAGTCAAGTCTCCTTCCATCCTTTTTTCTTTATTTTGTATATTTTTTACCTGATGAAGGAATGGGCCTTCATCAGGCCTAACTCAGGACTCCAACAGGCACAAGTGATGGCACTCTTCTCTGAGCGTAAAAAGTACTTTGTATCTCAATATGTAACCCAATAAAACTGGGTTCCTACTATATGCCAGGCACTGTTTCAGTTTATGATAAACAAAGCAGGCAAAATTCCTTTCCTCATTCTAATAGGGAGGGATAGAGGGGAAACACATACACACATCTGTATATATAAAGTGAATAGTAAGTGTTTTAAAGAAAAATAATGCAAGATAGAGAGCTAGAAGGTGATTTCTATTTTTAGATAGAGTAGTCAGGGAATACCAGTGCCTTTTGATGAAGTAACTTGTGAGGAGAGATCTGAAGAAGTGAGGAAACAAATGAGGGATATTTGGGAGTGTTGCAGGTAGAAGGTACAGCAACAAAAAATCTGAGACAGGAGCAGGCATGGCTTAATTAACAAATAGAAAGATGGCTAGTGGGGCTGGATTAGAGTGGATTGAACTGTTTTAAAAGGATTACTCTGGCTGCTGTGTAAATGAGTGGGTGAGTGAGTAAATAAGTGAGTGTGGGTCTGAGAAATGAGTTGTTGCTGAGTAGAGCTTAATAACCCCTGAGGACATGGACTTGGTGACCTTGACTCCCATTGGATCTTCTGACTTGTAATTTGACAATAAGGTGCTCTTCTCTCTTCCAGGCTTGGCAGCCTAGGTGTCATGGACTACTACCTGATGGATGCTGCCTCCTTGCTGCCTGTCCTGGCCCTTGGCCTGCAGCCCGGCGACACGGTGCTTGACTTATGTGCAGCCCCCGGGGGGAAGACACTAGCATTGCTTCAGACTGGCTGTTGCCGTAAGTCAGAGGGCTGGTGTCTTGGGTAGCGAGAGCTCTCTACTTCACCCAGTCAGGGGCACACTGAATATGATATCTTTGGTCCTAAGGTCAGAGGGGGGATAGTGCTTGCTGGTGTATTTTTTCTGTCGTTGATTATTTCCTCTATTTCTCTATCAGTTGGCCAAGGAAGATTGCCAAGCAGAGCAAGGTCTCTGAAGGCAGATTAAAGTAATGCCCTAGTCCCGCGGTCGGCAGACTGCGGCTCGTGAGCCACATGCCCTTGAGTGTGCCTCTTCCTAAGCCTTAGGAGTACCCTAATTAAGTTAATAACAATGTACCTACCTATATAGTTTAAGTTTAAAAAATTTGGCTCTCAAAAGAAATTTCAATCGTCGTACTGTTGATATTTGGCTCTGTTGACTAATGAGTTTGCCAACCACTGCCCTAGTCAGTCTATCATATGATACTTTCACCCCTATTTACTTCATCTCTAAGATAGTTGCCAGCTAAAGCAATAAGATCTGGCTGCAGTGAACCTTTATAGCAGGGGTGGAGAACCTTTTTTATGCCAAGGGCCATTCAGATATTTATAACATCATTGGTGGGCCATACAAAATTATCACCTTAAAAATTAGCCTGCTATATTTGGGCAAACATTTAATTTACTCACCTCTAATGCCTTAGTGGGGCCAGACCAAATGATTTCACGGGCCTTATAGGGCCTGTGGGACGTTCCCCACCCCTGCTTTATAGCTTTATGTTATTCTTCCCCAGGTTTTATGTGCTTCAGCCATATCCTACTACTCTCAGTTGCCCAAATTAGCCTCCCCCCTTTGTTCATGTTATGTTTTCTCTCTAGAATACTCCTACCCAATCCCTTTTAACTTTCAAGCCTCAGCTCAAGTGTGCCACCTCCTGGAAGTCTTTCCTCATGACCTCGACTGGCCAGTTGAGAAGTGATGCTCTGTCTCCTATGTGCCCAATCCTGGGCATCACCCTTGCAACTGTTAGCACATTATTAGCCTTGCATCAGAGCTTTACCGGTATGCATCTTCTCACTCTTCAGAATTATTAACTCCTTGGGAACAGGCCCAAGTCTTACCATTTTAGTAGTGTAGCCTAGGTTGGGCCTTGTGAACTGTAAGTGTTCACTTCAGCCATTCACTGGCCTACATCCTGCCTTAAATAGGCAGTATTTTCTCCTTAAGGACCTGACAAATATCCACAAGGGGGCTGTGATTTTCACACTCACCCTGGCGCTCAGGCAGGCTTGTCTTGCAATATGCCCTACCTTTTTGTTGGGCCTGGACCCTTCTTTTCCAGTTCTCATCAGACAACTTATACAGCTTGCATTAGCTTCCAGCCTCATGACAGGCCCCATGGATGATTCTAGAGAGGCACCACATTTGATCTCAGCCTTCTGGAAGTCCAGAGGGAAAGGAGAAAAGATGTTGATATAGCATAATGAGGTCAATGCCAGAGAGCCCAGCCTGTGTGTTGAGCTGTGCTGATCTTACTGAGTGATGTGGAAATCCATCAGAAGAGGGATGGAAACAAGTAGGGTTGCTTGGAAGAGGAAGAACTTGAACTAAGAGAAGCAAGAAGGGCCAAGGAGACGTACTTGAGAGTTGCTCTTCGGTGTGCTGAATTACCAGCAACTCACCTTCATCCCAGCAACTCCTTGATCTCAGGGAGACAGGAATTTCAGTGCCAGAAGGGAACTTAGAGTTTACCTAGTCAGGCCCTCATATTTTATGGAGGGGGAAATTGAGCCATTGAGAGATTTAATAACTTAACCTTTTATATAAGTTGAAGGTAGAAACAGAATAGGACTCAGCTTTTCTGTTCTCCAGTTCATATCCAACTGCAAATTCCTCTTGAACAGAGAATACAATTTTTACTTCCTTGATGTCCTCAAAAACTGGGACCATATTTCCTTGTGAGAATACTAAACTGTTTTATGGTAGTGACCATTCCCATTAGATAAGGTATGCACTCTCTAGTTCCCCCTTCCCAATAAAATTTATTGCAGTAACCTTGGTTAATAACATTACAGTATATAGATTTTAAGTGTATATTATACTTTCATATTTGTATACTCTATTGTGTGCTCACCACCCAAAGTCTAGTTTTCTTCGGTTGCCATACATTCACTCTCTAGTTCTTAACCACACTTCCCACCTCCATTTCTCTCCTTGACTCTGAGGCCAGATATCAATTGCCATTTATCAGCAAGCTTGCAGTTAATACTTTTTCTTATTATAGAACCAAGAGCAAAGTGGAATATTTATTGAACTTGTGTCTGTTACAAAAGGGAAAATGAAAGATAGATGGTGAATCAATTAGGATTAGGGTTGGTCATATACAATAGAAAACTCAACTAGCTTAATGAAGAAAAGTTTACTTCTCTCTTACATGAGAGAAGTTGGGATATAAGCAGTCCAGGGCTGGTATGGAGGCTCCACAATCACCAGCGACAACCTATTTTATTGTTGACTTTAGCACCATTGCTTGTGGGATGTTTTGTTGGGCCATGACCTTTGAAGTTCCTTTATTTCCAGAGGCATAAAATGTCCGTACTACCAAAAGCCATCTATAGATGCAGTGCAATCCCTATCAAGATTCCAATGGCATTTTTTACAGAAGTAAAAAAACAATCCTCAAATTTATGTTCCTACAGGCAATCTTGCTGCCAATGATCTCTCCACTTCCCGAACAGGCAGACTTCATAAGGTCCTTCACAGCTATGTACCTCAAGATGTTAGGGATAAAAGTCGAGTTCGAGTCACCTCATGGGATGGCAGGAAGTGGGGAGAACTGGAGGGGGACACCTATGACCGGGTGAGTGATTCCTATCCTGGGATATTCAGCCAGCCAAATCTGGCCTCCTCATCCTGACTCCAGGCCCTGGGCAGTAGGATTGAGCCCTACATATTTGAGCATATAAGGTCAGCTCTCCATGGGGATTTGGAGAAAACAATCATCTACAGAATTGTCAGTTTAGCTTACATGACTGGCTGCTACTATCTTCATTAGAGACTGCAGCAAAAACAAGTTTGAACCTGACTGAGTATAAAAAAAGTATATTAGGCTTATTTTATTTTTTAACTTGGTTGCTCAGAAACCCTTAAATTTCTTGCTTCCTTAGTAGATCTCTAATGATTTCAGATAGGTATTTTAAATATTTTGTTAAGCATTTCTAGTTGTTCCAGCTTGAGGGCTGGTTTGCAACAAGCTATTCTGCCTTGAGTAAGATTGAGAAAACATGATTTTGTTTATTATCAGCTTACTAGAGGCCCGGTGCACGAAATTCGTGCGGGGGGGGGGGGTTGGGGGGGTCCCCTCAGCCCAGCCTGCACCCTGTCCAATCTGGGACCCCTTGGGGGATGTCCGACTGCCAGTTTAAGTCTGATCCTGGGGATCGGGCCTAAACTGGCAGTCGGACATCCCTCTCACAATCCTGGACTGCTAGTTCCTCATCACTTGCATGCCTGCCTGGTCACCTCTAACTGCCCCCCTGACCCCCCTGACCCCCCCGCTGGCCTGATCACCCCTCACTGCCTCTGCATGCTGGCCTATCACCCCTCTAATCTCCAATTTTATGCAATCTAAAAAGATTAGAAACAAATAAAATGTTAACAGTGGTTATTCTGGTAAAGTGATTATGATTTTGTTTTTTCTTTTATATTTCCACTAGAGGCTCAGTGCACAAAATTCATGAACAGAGGAGGGGTGGGTCCCCCTGGGGCAGCCTGCACCCACTCCAATCCAGGACCCCTCAGGGGATGTCTGACTGTCGGGCCTAAACCGGCAGTTGGACATCCCTCTCACAATCCTGGACCGCTGGCTCCTAATTGCTCACCTGCCTGCCTGCCTGCCTGGTCACCCCTCACTGTCCCCCTCTGCCAGCCTGGTTGCCCCAACTGCCCCCCCCTGCTGGCCTGGTTGGCCCATGCAGCCTGCTGTTCAGTCGTTTAGTCATCCCTTACTAACCCCCCTGCCGGCCTGGTTGCACCACGCAGCCTGCTTGTTCAGTCGTTTGGTCGTCCCTCACTAACTCCCCTGCTGGCCTGGTCATAGGCAGCCATCTTGTGAGGGCATGAGGGTTAATTTGCATATTACCTCTTTATTATATAGGATAGGATGATCATTCCCAAGTTAATTATAGAGCCCTAGTTAATTAGAGGATTTGCATTCCTCTAGCAAGGAACCTGCATTTCCTTTTCCCAGGTGTTTGGAGGATCTGTTAACCCAGGACCATTAATTATTCTGTGTGGGATTTTCTGGATCATGCAGGCATTCTGGATTTGAACCTTCTATCTTAGTCATTAAAAATTCTCAGGGAGATTTTTTTTTTTTTGCCCAGAGTTAAGCGAAAACAGACAAGTTCTCTTGTCCATTGTGGGCTGATTTTTTTTTCTAGTTTATTCTTTGATTGACAGTGTAGCCCTTTGAGGATTTTGGCTTTGTTATGGATTTCCATCCCAATTCCCTACCTCAAATGGGCCCAGTGCCCTTTTTTCTGGGGTTTTTTGTTTGTTTGTTTTTTGTTCTGTTTTTTGGTGTGTTTGTGTTGGTTACTAGGGATTTGATAAAAGATAGAAGCCATTGGCTTCAGCTCCAGCATGCCTCCCTAGATCTGTGCTCCTACATTTAAAAAAAATATATTTTTATTGATTTCAGAGAGGAAGGGAGAGGGAGAGAGAGATAGAATCATTGATTGGCTGCCTCCTGCATGCCCCCCACTGAGGACCAAGCCCGAAACCCGGGCATGTGCCCTTGACTGGAATTGAGTCTGGGACCCTTAAGTCTGCAGGCCAACGCTCTATCCACTAAGCCAAACCAGCTAGGGCCTACTATTTTTATTTTTAAACTCTCACCTGTGGATATGTTTATTGATTTTAGAGAAGAAGGAAGAGAGAAACATTGATGTGAAAGAGTAACATCGATTGGTTGCCTCCTGTACATGCTCTGACCAGGATTGAAACAGAAACCTAGGTATGTGCCCTGACCCGGAATCAAACCCACAACCTTTTTGGTATACATGACGACACTCCAACCAACTGAGCCACCCAGCCGGGGCTATGCTACTTTTTCTTTGATTTTTGAGGATTTCTCTAATTTTATTTTTAATCCTTACCTGAGGCGTGAGGATATTTTCTCCATTGATTTTTAGAGAGAGTGGAAGGAAGTGGGGAGGGAGGGGGAGAGAGTGAGAGAGAAACATTGATGTGAGAGAGACACGTCAATTGGTTGTCTCCTGCAACTGAGGTACGTGCCCTTGACTGGGAATCAAACCTGTGATCCTCAGTCTGAGGGCCGACGCTCTAACCACTGAGAAAAACTGCCAGGGCTATTTTATCCAGTCTTTAGGTGTTTTGTATTGCAGGGTTTTCAGGACATCTAGTTCACTACATTGCTGGAAACAGAATTATTACTTTCTTCTGTGATGTGTTTTCTAAACATCCCAGTGGTCCTTCTCTGGGCATCCTTATTTAATGTTGCTTTTTCCTGCGAAGGCCAGCCCTCTCATCGTTCTTGAGATATGGGACTCTATGTATTGTGTCAATTCATGCAGCCTAGGAAAACATCGAAGTATTGAACACTGGGTCATTATTAATTTACTTGGAGTTTCTGTTTAGTTAAAAATGAACATATCTTTTCCTAGATGATTTTACTTTTTTGAAATATAAACATAGGACAATTAAACATTTTTCTTTTTTTTTTTTTTTTATTCTTTTTAAAAAAATATTATAATAAGTATTACAAAGGGTATTACATATGTGTCCTTCCCCCCCCCCCCCCCCCCCCCT